GGCCTGTTGCTCCTAGGTTATAAACCCATACAGCATTATTGTACTAAATACTGTAGGCAATTGTAAAACAGTGTTGAGCATCTGTGCATATAACATATCAAAACATAGAAAAGGTACAGCAAAATACAGTAATGCAATCATGAGATCACCTTCGTATATGTAGTCTGTCACTGATCAAAAAGTAGTTACACGGCACATGACTATACGTGCACATGCATATCATATGAATCATGATTTCTTATATACAAGTTTGTATGTGTGTGTATAAATATGTATATATACATACACGTATAAATATGTAGAAATACATATTTTCTAGTACTGTTTGTTGAAAGAATCAAGAAGCAAAGACACTCCAATAGCAATGAGCAGACCTAGTGTCAGATCTGTCTCTAATACCATTTCCCACTAAAAGAAAATGGTTCCTCAGGTAAGTTGCTGAATCTACACCTAAGGAGGACAGGTATATTGTGAGCCAGGAAAATCTTTTAATGCCAGAATATAAAAAAGTGCCCAAAAATATAATGAGGAATTAACACATGGATTCAGGAGCCAGCTTAAAGAGATTCCCTCTGATCAAATCTGGGATACTCTGAGCACCAAAATAAAGAATAAAAGTCAAAAACTATAAATCATTGGGAAAAAAATGAATGAGTCCATACATATAATAAATATGTACACATATACATACAAAGAGAATGGTGATCTGTTTCTTAAGCATAATGCCAAATACCTACTGAGAAATGTGGAGGAAGTGCTAGAATTGAAAAATCATCATTTTACAAACATCATAGTAGACAGTAGATAAGGCAAGAATCATCAGTAGATGCTAAATTGAGGAACAAATATTAATAAAGAGTAATAACTGTGTAGTCATCAACTGTGTTCCCACAGGCTGCATGTTAGATGCAAGGGAGAAAAAAACAGTTATCATATAGTGGAGAAACACAACAGTTTCACTGAGTGAACAAACTTTATATCACCTATGAGGGACAGCTATGAAGAGAAGCACAAAATATCATCTATACAGAATTTGCCTAAGAAGGCATAGCATCAACCGGTCACAATAGATCAAAGACAAAATAAAAAACATTTTATTGGGAAAAAAAAAGTAGAAAGAAAAAAAGAAACAAACAAAAAAGTGGAAATAACTTTTTTTTTTTTTTTAAGAGATAAGTCTTGCCCAATGGCCCAGGCTGGAATGCAGCAGCATGATCACAGCTCACTGCAGCCTCAAACGATCCTCTTGCCTCAGTCCCCCAGGTAGCTAGAAAGTATAGGCATGCACCACTATGCCAGGCTAACTTTTCTTTTTTTAACTTTCTGCAGAGATGGAGTCTTGTTCTGTTGCTCAGGCTGGTTCGCAGGAAAAACTTTTTAAAATATGACACAGTGAAAAATGGCCAAGAAAGGCTAGGGAATAACTCCAGATTAAATGAAACTAAAGAGACATGACAACTAAAGGTAATATTTGACTTTAGAATGGATCATGTAATTCAGGGAAGAAGAAAATGCAATCTCTTATGAGATCAACTAAGAAAACTGGCATATGAAAAGCATATTAGATAAAAGTATCTTATCAATGTCAATTTATGAAGTCGATCACCACGCCGTAATTATATAGGGGAATATCTCTAAACTTAAAAATACACATTTGAGCCAGGTGCAGTGGCTCACGTCTATAATCCCAGCACTTTGGGAGATCAACGTGGGTGGATCACTTGAGGTCAGGAGTTCAAGATCAGCCTGGCCAGCATCATGAAACCCCATCTCTACTAAAAATACAAAAAAATTAGTTGGGCGTGGTGGTACACACCTGTAATCCCAGCTACTCAGGAGGCTGAGGCAGAAGAATCCTGGGGGGCGGAGGCTGAAGTGAGCTGAGATTGTACCACTGCACTCCAGCCTGAATGACAGAGCAAGACTCCATCTCAAAATAAATAAAATAAGGCCAGGCTGGTGGCTTATGCCTATAACCCCAACACTTTGGAAGGCTGAGGTGGGCAGATCACTTGAGGTCAGGAGTTCGAGACCAGCCTGGCCAACATGGCGAAACCCCGTCTCTACTAAAAATATAAAAATTAGCCAGGCATGGTGGTGCATGCCTATAGTCCCAGCTACTAGGGAGGTTGAGGCTGGAGAATCACTTGAACCTGGTAAGCGGAGGTTGCAGTGAGCCAAGATCTTGCTACTGCACTCCAGCCTGGGTGACAGAGTGAGACTCCGTCTCAAAAAAATAAAATAAAATAAAAAATAAGTAAAATAAAATAAAAATGTACACTTAAGTATTTATGGGAAATGAGCCATGTATATGTCACATGTCCTAAAAAGGCTCAATATCAAGAAGAGCAACAGAAATATTAAAAATTGGGATGTATATACGGCAAACTATTAGTCTTTTCTTAAGTTGTTTAAAGTATGTATGATGATTGAAGTAAAATATTATAACATTATCTAATGGGATTATTATTATTATTATTTTTGAGACAGGGTCTCCCTCAGTCTCCCATGTTGGAGTGCAATAGCACAATCATGGCTCACTGTACTCTCAAACTCCTGGGCTCAAATAATTCTCCTACTTCAGCCTCCCAAGTATCTGAGACTACAAGTATATTCCACAACAATAAGCTAATTTTGTTGTCGTTTTTGTAGACATAGGGTCTTCTTCCTTTGTTGCCCAGACTGAACTAATGGAGTTTTTCAGCACATACATGTGAAAGTAATTCACATGAAAACTACCACATATAGTAGGGAGAGGAAGTGATCCATGTAGTTATAGGACTATGAGACTATAATTGCAGTGGTAAAGTACCAAATCTAAAATAGACTGTTAAAAGTTAGGTTATGTTTCCAAGGCAGGTCACACATACACAAAAAAAGTTAGGTTATGTATGTTGCAATCCCTACAGCAGCCAATAAAAAATGACACAAATATAGCGAAACGTGAATGAAATAAATTAAAAGGGAATATTAAAATATATTTAAAGGAGAGGGTTTTGAGAAGATGACAGAATAGGAAGTACCAAAATTCCATCTCTCCACTTATATAACAATTTCGCTGGCAGAATCTCTCTGATACAACTATTTTGAAACTCTGAGTCTAATGAAGGCTGGCAAATCCAGGGAAAGGCATGGAGAAGGACTTCAATGGTAAACTGTGATTAATTTTAGTAAATTTCAGCTCTTAATATAACAGCAGCTACCCATTCCTTCACCCCCAACCCCCTGGCAGGCAGTCATGTGAGTATAAAACCAGAGCAGCTTACACACAGCTTATGGAAGCCAGAGAGGGCAAAAAACAGGACTATGTCTTCCAACCATAAGGGATCTGTGTGTTGATCACTGATTGCTGCTGCTTATGACGGAAGTGTAGACAAAGTGTCAGGCAGCCACTGTAGTTACACATGCATACACTTTCGAAAACCCTGCATCCTCTGGTTGGAGTGATTTCCAGGGGATTTAAAAAGCCAGAGCCCCTTTTATCCCCACCTTTATTTTCTCCATTTCCCCTTTCTAAGAGCCAGACAATCAAGACTAGGATATTGACCAATAACTGCATATAAGGAGAGATTCTGGAAGAGACTGCATATACCCATAGAAAGCTTCAGACCCAGAAACAAACTGAGAAGACCTTAAGTTTATACCTCAAGTTGATCCCTGGCACAGAGATGACCTACAAAAATATGAATAAATAAATAAATAAACAATAATAAAAAAGCCTGCAAACGCTGGGGTAGAGGGAGAATCTGACTTTGGGGGTTACTACATTATTAGGTTCAAACAAGCCCTTTTTGACAACAGCAATAAAACACAAAGCATACAAAAAAATAGAATGGCCTAGTGAAATAAAAAATAAATAAATCAATAGACACTATCCCTGAAAAAAAATCTGAGGGTAGATGTACTATATAGACTTCCCAAACACTGTCTTAAAAATGCTAAAGAAAGATGTGGAGAAAGTCAACAAAATGATACATGAACACAACAGAAATATTAAAAGAAATAAACCTAAAAGAAAACCAAAAACAAATTCCACAAGTGAAAAGTACAAAAATTAAAGTGAAAAATTCACTAGAGGAATTCAAAGGCAGATTTGAGTAGGCAGAAAGAAAAATCAGCAAACTTGGATATAAGACAATAGAAATTATCAAGTCTGAAAAATAAAAAGAAAAATGATTGAGAAAAGTGAACAGAATGGAATGAAACTAGCTGAGCATGATGGCTCATGCCTGTAATCCCAGCACTTTGAGAGGCTGAGGCGGGACGATCACTTGAGATCAAGAGTTCAAGACCAGCCTGGCCAACACGGTAAAACCCTGTCTCTACTAAAAATAAAAAAAAATTAGCTGGGCATTGTGGTGGGTACCTGTAATCCCAGCTACTCAGAAGGCTGAGGTAGGAGAACTGCTTGAACCCGGAGGTGGAGATTGCAGTGAGCCAAGATTGTGCCACTGCAGTCCAGCCTGTGTGACAGAAGGAGACTCCATTTCAACAACAACAAAAAAAGTAAGGAAACTGTGGAACACTGTCAAGAGAAAAGAGAGGAAGAAGCAGAGAGAATATTTGAAGGAATAAAGTGTTAAAACATCCCACATTTGATGAAAGACAGGAGTATAAAACATCCAAGAAGTGGCCAGGCGCAATGGTACATGCCCATAATCCCAGCGCTTTGGGAGGCCAAGGTAGGTGGATCACCTGAGGTCAGGAGTTCAAGACCGGTCTGAACAACATGGTGAAACCTTGTATCTACTAAATATAAAATATTAGCCAGGCATGGTGGCACATGCCTGTAATCTCAGGTACTTGGGAGGCTGAGGCAGGAGAATTGCTTGAATCTGGGAGACAAAGGTTGCAGTGAGCTGAGATCACCCCATTGCACTCCAGCCTGAGCAACAAGAGCAAAGCTTCATCTTAAAAAAAAAAAAAAAAAAAAAATTCAATAAGTTCAAAGAACTTCAAGATGAACTCAGAGATCCACATAGAGAAACATTATAATCAAGCTGTAAAAAGACAAAGAAAGAGAGAATATCTTGAAAGCAGCAACAGAAAAGTGACTGGTCACATACAAAGGATATTCAGTAAAATGATCAGCAGATTTTTCACCAGAAAGCGTGGTGGCCAGAAGTCAGTGAGCAGATTATAGTCAAAGTGCTAAAAGAAAAGGAAAAAAGGGCTGGGTTTTTGGCAGGCTTACCAGGGACAAAAATGTCTATGGCCAGCAATTTCTACCTGTGCTACTATGCAGGGCACAAGGGCAAGTTTGGACATGAGTTTCTGGAGTTCAAATTTCAGCTGGATGGAAAGCTTAGATATGCCAACAATAGCAATTACAAAAATGATGTCATGCCGGGCGCAGTGGCTCACGCCTGTAATCCCAGCATTTTGGGAGGCCGAGGCGGGTGGATCACGAGGTCAAGAGATCGAGACCATCCTGGTCAACACGGTGAAACCCCGTCTCTACTAAAAATACAAAACATTAGCTGGGCATGGTGGCGCGTGCCTGTAGTCTCAACTACTCAGGAGGCTGAGGCAGGAGAATTGCCTGAACCCAGGAGGCGGAGGTTGCGGTGAGCCGAGATCGCGCCATTGCACTCCAGCCTGGGTAACAAGAGCGAAATTCCATCTCAAATAAATAAATAAATAAATGCTCTTTAAAAAAAATAAATGATGTCATGATCAGAAAAGAGGCTTATGTGCACAAGACTGTAATGGAAGAACTGAAAAGAATTATTGATGACAGTGAAATTATAAAAGAAGATGAGGCTTTGCGGCCTCCCCCGACAGGGTTGGCTGACAGGAGCTTGAAATTGTCATTGGAGATAAACACATACTTTTGCCACATCAAAAATAGGTTCTCTTATTCATGTAAATCAGTCAAAGGATCCTGAAGGTCTTCAAGTATTTTGCTACTTGACATAAGACTTGAAAAGTTTAGTTTTCAGTCTCATTGGATTACACTTCAAGATTAAACCAATTTAAATTTCATGTTTTTCAAGCTGTTTGTATATTTAATTAAGGGACAGGAGGATTTATTTGTCATTTACAATATTGGAGTTTTTATGAATATGAAACAAAAAAAACCACTTTGTATGTAAACTGAAAATAAGACAATACATTAACAGGCTTAATGGTTATCCTTAAGTCCACGTGGTTTGGACAGTACCCAAACCACGTGGACTCAAGGATAATCATTAAGCCTTTTTTATTAAATTCTGTAAATAAAAGCCATCTTTTGCTAAAAATTTGCTCTAATAAAACATACCAAATCCTGAAAAAAAAAAAAGAAAAGAAAAAAAAAACAGTCAACCAAGAATTTTATATCCTGCAAAATCATCCTTTAAAAGTGAGGGAGATGATCAAAGGGATGTAGCTGGGGAAAAGAAAAATAAAACAAAAATTAAAAAATAAAAAAAGTGAGAGAGAAATTACAACATTCTCAGGTAAACAAAAGCTGAAGGAGTTGTTTATCATTAAACTTTCTCCGTAAAAAATGGTCAAGGGAATTCCGTAGAGTGAAAGAAAGTACACTAGACAGTAACCTGAAGACATGTTAAAAAATAAAGCCTCTTAGAATATATGGAAAAAGGCAAAAGAAAAAAAAAGTTAAACAATAACAACAACAAAAAGATCAATAAAGGTAAATACATGTGAAATTATAAAAGCTAGTATTTTTGCAACAATTAGTATGTGACTGTTTCCTGCATGATTTTATAGACTAATATGTTTTTTAAAAATTAGTCTAAAAGCTATTATTATTGTAATTTTCATTTGTGACCCCACATATTTTCTATGTAATTTAAGAAACCAATGCATTTAAAGAATTATTAGTTTACATTTTGGGGTACACAACATATAAATATATAAGTTTGTAACATCAATAATTGAAAAGGCTGGGGATAGAGCTGTTAAGTAACACAGGTCTTCTAAATTTTTTTTAAGTTAAAGTGGCATAAAATGAAATTGCAGGAACATTAAATCAAAAAAAGGTTACAAGAGACAAGAACACTATATACAGGTACACCTTGTTTTATTGTGCTTTGCAGATACTGTATTTTTTAAAACTGTAGGTTGTGGAAATGCCATGTCAAGCAAGTCTATTGGTGTCATTTTCCCAACAATATGTGCTCACTTCATGTCTGTCATATTTTGGTAATTTTCCCAATATTTCAAAATTTTTCATTATTATTGTCTGTTATGGTAATCTGTGATCCATAATCTTTGCTGTTACTATGGGAATTGTTTTGGGGTGCCATGAACCACTCCCATATAAAAAAATGGCATTTTTCAGATACAACGGCATTGTACACTTAATATACTGTAGTATAATGTAAACATGACTATAATATGCACTGCTCGACCAAAAAAAATTCATGTGATTCACATTATTGCCATATTTCCATATACGGTGGTCTGGAACCAAACCTACAATATATCCAAGATATGTCTGTATTAATAAAAGCTTCCATATATCGAAAAGATGTAACACTTATAAGCATCTATACACTTAATAAACAGACCATCAAAGTACATGAAGCATAAACTGACTAAATTAAAGGAAGAAACAGAAAGTCCTACAATAACAATTGGAGACTTCAATGTCCTAATCTCAATAATGAATAGAACAACCAGAGGACTTAAACAACACAGTAAACCAACTATTACATCTAACAGATATATATGGAACATTCTATGCAAAAAACAGATAGCAGCTGTGGAAAACACTGTGGTAGTTCCTCAAAAAATTTAACACAGAATGACCATATGATTCAGTAATTTCACTTACAGGCATATGCCCAAAAGATTTGAAAGTAGAGTTTCAAAGAGATATTTGTACACTCATGTTCACAGCAGCACTATTAATACTAGTTAGAACATGGAAACAACCCAAGTGTCTAGTGACAGAGGAAGGGATAACAAAGGAACATAATGAAGCTGGCTGGTTGCTCTTAAGTTCAGAGGAAAAAGTAGTGAAAGAAAATTATGAACTCAGGGATTCTGTCTCCTGGCTTCAGAAGCAGATACTGAGCCTCAAATCTGCTAAGATTGCCCTGAGTGAGAGTCTTTACCTCCTGTGGAAAAACAGACACAAGCTCGTATCATGTGAGTGGCTGACCTGCAATGAAAGGTGCATGCACAGCTTTGCCACGTGTCTACAGTTAAAGTAAGGGCATTGATTGGAAAAGAATGGGACCCTGCAACTTTGAATGGGGACCTCCAGCCTTTTACCAGGGTAACTGGGCATTGGAGAAAGGAAAATGATCAGACATTTCAGGAACTACTGGACACTGGCTCTGAGTGGACACTGATTCCAGAGAACCCAAAACGTCTTGTGGTCCTCCAATTAAAGTAAGGGCTTATGGAGGTCAGGTAATTAATGGAGTTTTAGCTCAGGTCCAACTTACAGTAGGTACAGTGGGTGCCCAGACTCATCCTGTGGTCATTTCCCCAGTGCCAGAATGCATAATTGGCATAGACATACTTAGCAGCTGGCAGAACCCCCATCTTAGCTCCCTGACTGGTAGGGTGAGGGCTACTATGGTGGAAAAGGCCAAATGGAAGCCATTAAAGCTGCCTCTACCTAGAAAAATAGTAAATCAGAAACAATATCACATCTCTGGAGAAATTGTGATTAGTGCAACCATCAAGGACTTGAAAGACGCAGGGTGGTAATTCCCACTACAACGCTGTTCAACTCTCCCATTTGGCCTGTGCAGAAGACTATGGATCTTGGAGAATGACAGTGGATTATCATAAGCTTAACCAAGTGGTGACTGCAATTGCAGCTGCCGTACCAGGTGTGGTTTCATTGCTTGAGCAAATGAACACATCTCCTGGTACCTGGTATGCAGCTATTGACTTTGCAAATGCCTTTTTCTCCACTCCTGTTCATAAGGCCCACTGGAAGCAATTTGTCTTCAGCTGACAAGGCCAGCAATATACCCTTACTGTCCTACCTCAGGAGTACATCAACTCTCTGGCTTTGTGTCATAATCTTATTCAGAGAGACCTGGATTGCTTTTCACTTCCATAAGATATCACACTGGTCCATTACATTGATGACATTATGCTGATTGGATTCAGTAAGCAAGAAGTAGTAAACGCACTAGAATTATTGGCCATCTTTTGCAGATAATTATTATCCTTTTGAGAGACGGCTCTTGGCCTGTTACTAGGCTTTGGTGGAAACTGAACATTTGACTATGAGTCGTCAAGTCACCATGCAACCTGTACTGCCTATTATAAACTGGGGCGCTTTCTGACCCATCTAGCCATAAACTGGGTCATACGCAGCAACATTTGTGTCTTAGATCCAAAGGGAGGAACACTGCTACCAGGAGCCACAACAACGATCCCATTAAACTGGAAGTTAAGATTGCCACCTGGACACTTTGGGCTCCTCTTACCTTTAAGTCAACAGGCTAAGAAGGGAGTTACAGTGTTGACTGGGATGACTTACCCAGATTATCAAGATAAAATCAGTCTACTACTCCACAATGGAGGTAAGGAAGAGTATGCATGGAATACAAGAAATCCATTAGAACATCTCTTAGTATTACCATGCCCTGTGTTTAAGGTTAATGGGAAACTACATTAGCCCAATCCAAGCTGGACTACAAATGGCTCAGACCTTCAGGAATGAAGGTTTGGGTCACTCCACCAGGAAAAAAAAACACAACCTGCTGAGGTGCTTGCTGAAGGCAAAGGGAATACAGAATGGGTAGTAGAAGAAAGTAGTCTTCAATACCAGCCACAACCACATGATCAGCTGCAGAAACCGGGACTGTAATTGTCATGAGTATTTCCTCCTTTTTTTGTTTAAAACGTTTGTGCATATATACACTTGTACTAAGAAAATATCTTCATTTTATTTCCATTCCCCTTTCTCATCTGACCTATGATTTATTGACTTCATATCAGCATTTACAAATTAACTTTATGTAATAGTATTTGGGTTGGAGATCAGTGCATTTCCAGGTACATGAAGGATAATTATGTTAGGTGTAATTACGATTATTATTGTCTTTATTTGAAGATTATGTATGATCTTAGGAGATGTGTATGGGTTCATGTTAACAAGGGGTGGGCTTGCGATGGTTAATACTGAGTATCAGCTTGATTGGATTGAAGGATGCAAAGCATTAATCCTGGGTGTGTCTGTGAGGATGCTGCCAAAGGAGATTAACATTTGAGACAGTGAGTTGGAGAAGGCAGACTCACCCTCAATCTGGATGGGCACCATCTAATCAGCCTCCAGTGAATATAATGCAGGCAGAAACATGTGAAAAGGTTAGACTGGGTTAGCCTCCCAGTCTACATCTTTCTCTCGTGCTGGATGCTACCTGCCCTCGAACATTGGACTCCAAGTTTTTCAGTTTTGGAACTCGGCCTGGCTCTCCTTGCTCCTCAGCCTGCAGATGGCCTATTGTGGGACCTCCTAATCATGTGAGTTAATATTTAATAAACTCCTATATAGAAACGATTATATATATTATTAATATAATATATAATAATAATTTACTAAGTATATATAGGACTCATATATGTAGGAGTCCTATATATTATTTATATAATAAATTATATATGTATTTACATAATTATAAATTATCTATAGTCATAGATAGGAGTCCTATATATACATGCTTCTATATATACTTCTATATATAGAGGTCCAATATATATGTTTATATATTTTATTAAATGTGTTTCTTATATAATTATTACAGCTATATTATATATTTTTATAATATGTATTTATATATAGGACGATAAATATATACTATATATATTATTATAGTAATATTATTGTGGTAATTATTATAGTATATACTCCTATATGTTTATATAGTAATACATAGGAGTATATATATTATTACTATGTATAATATATTTATATATAGTATATATATTATTATTCTATACATAAGCATATATATGACTTATATATATATATATAGGAGTCCTAAATATATATATCCATTATTTTATATATATATAAAATATATATATATATAAAATATATATATAATATATAAAATATATATATATATAAAATATATATATAATATATAAAATATATATATATATATAAATCTCTCTAGAAAGCCCTAATACATGCACTAAAGCCAAAAGACTGAGGAAGAGAAATACAGGTATTGATGGACTTACAACCTATGCAACTTATGACCATTCGACTTTACGACCACAATCGCTAGCCACGACTACTCCGCATCTGGCAGCACAAACGTTGCCCAGCTGGGCAAACGACAGTGCCCACCAGCTTCCAGCAGCACTACCATCTCCACGTGCACTATTTCAACTGTTATCCCAGACTCGGTACAGCAATTTGTGTTTTGTGTCTTGGATATTTTTCATCAAACCCCTCCCAATAAACTTCTTCGTTTTTTTTTTTTTTCTTTTTTTTTTTGAGACGGAGTTTCGCTCTTGTTACCCAGGCTGGAGTGCAATGGCGCGATCTCGGCTCACCGCAACCTCCGCCTCCTGGGTTCAGGCAATTCTCCTGCCTCAGCCTCCTGAGTAGCTGGGATTACAGGCACGTGCCACCATGCCCAGCTAATGTTTTGTATTTTTAGTAGAGACGGGGTTTCACCGTGTTGACCAGGATGGTCTCGATCTCTTGACCTCGTGATCCACCCGCCTTGGCCTCCCAAAGTGCTGGGATTACAGGCTTGAGCCACCGCGCCCAGTCCCCAATAAACTTCTTATACATTTCGAAGCAATGGACCCAAACATCGAACAATTTGCAAGGATTGAACGGATGGCGAACGATGTGCTTCGTCCGTATCGTGAAATTTATGAAGAAAAAAAGAAACATACAATTCAGACAAAGCTCACCATGTTTATGAAAAAACCAACTCCGGTAACCCCAACTGCTGCCTCAGATGACGACATCAACGATCCGCAGCCAAGCACCAGCGGCCAATAAAATGTTTCGTACATGTTTATATATTTTGATATGTTTTGCAATTGGGAAAATGTTTCCTATGGTATTTTTTACACCTGTATTTTGTATTTTTGTATGCACCTGTATTTTGTAATTTTGTATGTTCTGCAAATATTAAACCAGTTGTACTGGTAATGCAGTGTTTTACTTAAACCTGACGAATGTAAAAATAAGAAACAAAATGGTGTAGAGATGATACAAATGGCATAAAATGAACAAAGAAAATTATGATATATAACAATAATGAAAGAAAATTATGACAAAATATGACTTAAAGATTTTTATAACATCATTCCACAGTACTGTACATATAGCCTACTCAACTTAAGACCAAATCGTGTTACGACCGGTCTGTCGGAACCCATCGTGGTCATAAGTCGAGCACCAGCTGTATGAGAATACTCTGGATTAACCAAATTAAAGCTGACCCCCAGGAACACAGCCTTAAGTACCCAGTGTTCACTCTCAATTTAATTAAGTGCCAGGTGGAGCTTAATGTGAAAGTACTTTCAGATCTAGCCATCTATGAACCAAAGACTTGTAAAAGTTGGGCTGCTTTGGCCAAAAGGAGGCAACAAGGATTGGCTGCTGCCTTGGGGGATGGGAAGGAGCCTGAAGGCATATTTTCTAGGGTGATGCAGTACTACTGAGGAGGCTATAGCTGTGTGGATTGGAAAAAGGCGTTTTATGCTGATAATCATAACTAAAATAGGAGCAAAGTCATTATTTAGTCAACATTTGTAAATTTGATTTGTAATTGTGATTATTTACATTTAAGTAAAAGGCATGAGAGAAAAGGCCCTGTCTTCTCTCAGTTGGACAGATTCACAGAACTATCATTTTTTTTTGGTTTTGGTTTTGATTTTTGAGATGGTGTTTTGCTCTGTCACCTAGAGGAGTGCAGTAGCATGATCTTGGCTTACTGAAACCTCTGCCTCACGGGTTCAAGTGATTCTCCTGCCTCAGCCTCCAGAGTGGCTGGGGTTACAGGTGCCCGCCACCACACTCAGCTAATTTTTTGTATTTTTAGTAGAAATGGGGTTTCTCCATGTTGATCAGGCTTATCTCCAACTTCTGACCTCAGGTGATCCATCCATCTTGGCCTTCCAATGTGCTGAGATTGCAGGTGTGAGCCACTGCACCTGGCCAGGACTATCTTACATAAATGATGCAATTAAAGCTTGTGTGGTACAGAAAAAAGAAAAGGAAAGAAAAAAGAGTGAGAGAGAGAAAAAAAGAGAGAAAGAAAGACAAAGAAAGAGAGACAGAAATTCTGACTTATGATCCATAGATCAAACTTGACAACATTACACTCAGTGAAATAAGCCAGTCAAAAAAAAAAAAGGCATATACTGGCCAGGCATAGTGCCTCATGCCTGTAATCCCAGCACTTTGGGAGGCTGAAACAGATAGATCAAGACCAGAGTTCAAGACCAGCCTGTCTAACATGGCAAAACCCCATCTCTACTAAAAATACAAAAATTAGCTGGGTGTGGTGGCACATGCCTGTAATCCTAGCTACTTGGGAGGCTGAGGCAGGAGAATCACTTGAACTCAATTATGAATTGGGAGGGAGATAGAGGTTACAGTGAGCCAAGATCACGCCACTGTACTCCAGCCTGGGCAATAGAGTGAGATTCTACCTAAAAAAAAAAAAGGGCAAATACTATATGATTCCACTTACATAAGGTACTTAGAGTAATCAAAATCATACAGACAAAAAGTAAAATGTTGCTTACTAGAGGATGAGGAGCGGGAAGAAGGGAGAGTTACTGTTTATGAGTACAAAGTTTCTGGGTTTTTTGAGACAGAGTCTCGCTCTGTCACCCAGGTTGCAGTGCAGTCGCATGGTCTCGGCTCACCACAACCTCTGCCTCCCTGGTTCAAGCAATTCTTCTGCTCAACCTCCCGAGGAGCCGGGACTACAAGCACACGCCACCATGCCCGGCTAATTTTTGTATTTTTAGTAGAGACCAGGTTTCACCATGCTGGCCAGGCTGGTTTCGAACTCCTGACCCGATGATCTGCCTGCCTCAGCCTCCCAAAGTACTGGGATTACAGGCGTGAACCACCATGCCCAGCCAAAGTTTCTGTTTTAAAAGAGAAGGGAGTTACGTTGTGGGACAGTAGTAATGGTTGTACAACATAATGAATGTTTACTACCATTGAATTTTACTCTTCAACATGGTTGAGTTAGAAGATTTTGTAAGTATTCTGCCACAATAAAACCATAGGAAAACAAGTTAAATAATCTAAAAGAAGGCAAGAAAGGGCAATAGAAGAACAAAAAAAACCCAAATAGATTCACAGAAAACAAAGATCAAAAAAGAATAGTTGAATTAACACAAAACTGCCTAAGCATATACTTTATAGGGAACACTGGAGATCATGTGTTAAAAGTCAGTCTGATAGCTATTTAAAAAAATTTTTAGCATCTGAAAAAAATTGTTTTCCAAAGAATATGGGCCTATAAAGAGCAGAAGTTTGTTCACTAGAGCTTAAAGGCCGAAGTGACATGGTATTTCATTCTCCATCAAACAAGTGAACAAAAAATAAATTCTTAATCATATGATGAGGGAGTAAGCCATGAAAATAATCTTAAAAGTTATGATGACTCAAGTTTAAACACAAGCAGAGGAAAAGACTGTTCTTTTATAATGAGCTTTAAAAGATTAACAATTTTCTTCGTTCTTCCATTTGCATCTTCATAAAGGATACTGTACTACAGTATGTAAGAGTTTTCCATATAGAAAGAAATTTTGTGTGTGGGTGTGGGTGTTGGCTCTCACAGCTGTAATAATGATTGCAATTTATCTATTTTTCCTAAGCAAAGTCCAAACTTCACTAAATGTAAAACAGATGTCATGGATTTCTTTCATAAAATGTTGGCAGTAACACATTTCAATTTCAACTAAAGTAGTAAAGAAACAAAAACAACTCCAAATGTCTCCTCTCAAGTATAAAACAAACATAAAGAGAAATTTAGGTTAAAAATTTAAAAATTTGGGCCGGGCGCGGTGGCTCAAGCCTGTAATCCCAGCACTTTGGGAGGCCGAGGCGGGTGGATCACAAGGTCAAGAGATCGAGACCATCCTGGTCAACACGGTGAAACCCCGTCTCTACTAAAAATACAAAAAATTAGCTGGGCATGGTAGCGCGTGCCTGTAATCCCAGCTACTCAGGAGGCTGAGACAGGAGAATTGCCTGAACCCAGGAGGCGGAGGTTGCGGTGAGCCGAGATCGCGCCATTGCACTCCAGCCTGGGTAACAAGAGCGAAACTCCGTCCCCCCCCCAAAAAAAAAAAAAAAAAAAAAAAAAAAAAAAAAAAATTTAAAAATTTTATTCTAACAATAAATTTCTGGGACTATTACATATAAAATTAGGTGACCATCAGAAATTAATTCACAAAAATATTAACAATCATTCTCATACATTACTGGTAAGAATACAAAATAATATGATTGTTCTGGAAAACAGTTTGGCAGTTTATTATGAATTTAAACATACTCATATATGACTCAGCAATTCCACTTCTGGTTATTTACCTTAGAGAAAAGAAAACTTGTATTCACACAAAAATCTCTAGTGAATGTTCACAACAGCATATACATGTATGTTTGTGTGTATAATATACATATTTATAGCATATGAATGTTTGTAAAGGCATGAATGTATGTGCACGTATATATATATATATACACACATAAAAATAATATCTTTACATTATATATATTATACACTATAATATGCTACATAAATGTGTATATTACTATAATAAGCTATATTCACCAAAAACTGAAAATAACCCAAATGTTCTTCAATGGGTAATTGAATAAAACTCTAGTACATCCATACAAGGGAATATGAAAATAAAAAGAAATAAAACGCATTACAAGTAAGACCAACAACTCCTTAAATGGGCCCACGGGCAGCCAGTACTTCAACAGAGGAAAGAGTCTGTGAAGTTGCAGATAGGTTAATAGAAATTATCCAAACTGAAACACACACACAAAAAGGCATGAAAGGAATAGAACAGAGCATCCAAATGCTAGGACAATATGTCAGATAGCCTAGCATATATGTCATTAGTGATACAAGGCAAAATAAATACTTTAAAAGATATGGTTGATAATTTTCACACAAATATACCCTAAACATAGCACAAACTACAGAAAAGCAAAATGAAGAGAAAGATTTAAGGCAGCCCCAAGCACACACACAAGACACACTAATACAGAAAAATAAAGATAACAATCATAGCAGACTTTTTGTCACAACCTATGCAATCCAGATCATGAAAGAATATGTTTAAAGATACATATTTTTTAAAAACCTATCTATTCAGAATTCTATGGCCAGCAAAAATATCTTTCAAAAAATGAAGGCAAAATTAAGACTTTTCTAGAGAAAGAAAAGCTGATAGATATTATGGCCAACAGACGAGCATAGTAAGAAATGTTAAAGGGCCAGGTGTGGTGGCTCATGCCTGTAAACCCAGAACTCTGGGAGGCCGAGGCGGGTGGATCACCTGAGGTCAGGAGTTCAAGACCAGCCTGAGCAGCATGGTGAAATCCCGTCTACTGAAAACACAAAATTAGCCGGGCATGGTGGTGCACACCTGCAGTCCCAGCTACTTGGGAGGCTGAGGCAGGAGAATCACTTGAACGCCGGAGGCGAGGTTGCAGTGAGCTGAGATTGTGCCATTGCACTCCAGCCCAGGCAAAAAGAGCGAAACTCCATCTCAAAAAAAAAAATTTAAAAATGTTAAAGGAAGTTCTTACGGAAGAAGGAGCACATAAGTTAGAAATCTGAATCGACATAAAGAAATGAAGAATGTTGTAACTGAAAAAATGAAGATAAATATACAAAAACATGTTTTGTTGGCCAGGTGCGGTGGCTCATGCCTGTAATCTCAGCACTTTGGGAGGTCGTAGTGGGTGGATCATTTGAGGTCAGGAGTTCAAGACCAGCCTGGCCCACATGGTGAAACCCTGTCTCTACCAAGAAAAAAAAAATTAGCTAGGCATGGTAGCTGGGTGCCTGTAATCCTAGCTATTCAGGAGGCTGAGGCAGGAGAATTGCCTGAACCTGGGAAGCAGAGGTTGCAGTGAGCCAAGATCATGCCACTGCACTCCAGCCTGGGCAACAGAGTAAGTAAGACTCCATCTCAAAAAACAAAACAAAGCAAGTTTTGTCTTATTTTTAATTGCTTTAAAAAATAATTGAGTCTAAGGCAAAAATAGTAACAATGCCCTGAGGCATCAGGAACATGTAAAAGTGTATGACAATTGTATGACAATAATAATACAATGGTTGAGGGGAAAAAATGGAAAGTATACTGTTGTTCTTACAGTACATGTGAAATGTTTACTACTTAAAGTGAAGGTAGACTGTGATAAGGGATGATCAAGGTAGAAGCAAGAGTCAATAAAATAATGACTAAAATTTTCCAAAAATTAAAGATATCAATCCTGTATGAAAACTACAGATCTATAATGAAAAACTAAAAATAAATTCATATTTAGGCACATAATATTTAAATTACATAACAGCAGAGATAAAGAAGAAAGAAGCTTCAAAAGGAGAAGTAACTTGCACTAGGTCATTGAATCTGGACTAAAATCCAGGTCTTCTGACCTATGTTCAACACTCTTTCTAAAATACGACTCTCCACAAATGGAACCCAGTCTAAAAAAATTACCCAAATGGCTGAGATTAAATATTAAGTGACTATAATATGCTCATTATTATAAGATATCTCAGTATTCTTCCTTTTGTAATTTCCAAATAGCAGATGCTACTTCCAAACCATGGTCTGAACAAAAGGAAGTATGTGATCTCTGCCATGACACAACACATTCTTGGTGTTCTGCCTACCTCTCAAACAGTTCCTTTTCTAATTCCTTTGCAGGATCCTTGCCTTCTATTCAGCCAGTATATTTAAGAATTCCTCAAGGCTTAGGTTTAGGCCCTTTTCTAGTTTCACTCTATAGTCCTTCCTAGGCAACCTCACTCCTGCTCAAGGCTTTAATTCCTACCGAATAGAAGATAATTTCAGTGTTCTATATCTCACCCCCACCTCTTCTGTGCTGCCTCTTTCACATTTTTATTTCAGAGTTTTCAAAGGCACTCAAGTCTCATATGTCCAAAATAAAGTCATAATCTCACCAGACAATGGCCCTCTTCCAACTTCCCCTTATCAGCAAACAGGCCCACCATAATGGAAGAGTTATCACCTATGAATGAACTCTAATTCCTTTTATTCAAGCAATCCCATTGCCCACTCTTTTTGCTTCCTAAGTATCCCCAAAATTCATCTAGCTAAGTACCATCATTTCAGTCCAAACTACAAACTTCTCTTGCCTGAACTGTTTTAAAAGACTAGTCATTGACTCACCTGTATCAATGATTGTACCCCTTCATTCCATTTCTCCATAGCATCCAGAATAATTCTTTCTAGGATGCCATACTTCTGTTTTCCTCAGGCCCTGATCAAAACTTTTTAATAGTTTCACTTGGTCCTAGGACTATGATAAAACTCTTCATACCAAATTCCCTGTAGTATGGACCTTACCTAATTTACTAGCCTCAACTTACACCATTCTCCTATGCTCTTGCCTCTACCGGTCACTCTGGCCCTGTGTCAATTGCTCACAGACATCATGCTCCCTGCTAGCACAATGCACAGGAAAGCTATTTCCTCTTTGTTAGTTCACACCTACTCATTTTTCAGATGTCAGCTCAACCTTCAGGAAATGATTTCATGTTCTCTCTGCTAGTCAAATTCCTGATACACACTTTAGGAGGCTAAGGCAGGAGGATTGCTTGAGCAGCCTGGGCAACATAGTGAGATCTCAACTCTAATTTTAAAATAAAATATAAAAATAATAAAAAACAAAAATTCCTGATATATAGTTCAACAGCATTATGTAACTCTCCTTTGTAGCATTTAACATAGTCATAATTTAAGATTTACTTCTGCCATTATTTGATTAATATCTGACTTCTCAACTAGACTGTCAATTCCACGAGGACTGAGGATTAGATCTTTTCTTGCTCACATTTTAATTTTAATACCCAGCACATAGTGAGTGTTCAATAAATATAAATTAAATGAAAGAATAATAGATATAGAGAATAGGGGCTTAAGTAAAAGCCACAGTAATGGTGTTATATTTTCAGAGAAGACCTATTTACTTACTAAGAAAAGGAAAAGGTAAACTTAAAACAGTAAAGTGTAAATTTACCTTTTTTGTCTAAAAGAGTAAACTTGTAAAATAGCTTACCTAGACACAAATTCACTTAATTCTGAACATTCTGTGGGCTCCATTATTATGTTGAGGTCAGTAACAGCAGAAGATAATCTCTCCTTATTCTAAAACAAAGATAAAAAGTTTACGTATCAAAGCATGGTAAACTTCAAAAAGATAAAAATACTTTTGAAATATGCAAAATGAACTGTCACCAAATAAAAGAGTAATCAAGAAATTATACCAAAAACATTGGTTATTTGTTAAAAGAATGAAGTCAGATCCTTACTCTATACCAAAAACCAAAAGGAATTCCAGATGAATTACTTATGTAAATGGAACACTGAAACAATAAAATATAAAGAGAAAATAGAAACTTTTAATTTATTATTGAGGAAAGACTTTCTAAACAAAAATAGAAAAAAATTAGCAAATATGATTAAATAAAAACACAATATATCTAAGTAAAAAAATGATCTTATAATAAAAGAGAAGCAATAAACTGAGCTAAATATTTACCATAAACATGACAAAGGGACACTAAAAAGCTGGAAAAAAAAACGGCAAAGGATATTAACTAAAAATTCAGAAGTAAAAAACAATTTACATGTACAAAAACGTTCAATCTCAGCTGGGCACAGTGGCTTACACCTGCAAGCCCAGCACTTTAGGAGGCCGAGGCTGGTGGATCACCTGAGGTCAGGAGTTTGAGATCAGCCTGGCAGATGTGATGAAACCCCATCTCTACTAAAAAATAATAAAAATTAGCTGGGCTTGGTGGGGGCCACCTGTAATCCCAGCTACTCTGAAGGCTGAGGTAGGAGAATTGCTTGAACCCAGGAGGCAGTGGTTGCAGTGACCTGAGATCATACCACTGCACTCCAGCCTGGGCGAAAGAGCAAGACTCCATCTCCAAAAAATAAAAATAAAAAGTTCAATCTCGCTAGTAATAATTGTAAATTAAAATAATAAGATGCCATTTTTGCCTATAAAATGAGCAATGACTAAAAATGTGTCAATCCTAGTAAATATACTGAAACCTAGCATAACCCTTTTAAATATCATTTTGACAATGCATAACTTAAAATATTCTTAATCTTCTGTCCCAGTAATTTAACTTCTAAGAATCTGTCCTTAAGTACTATAATGAGAAACGAAGACAAAGACTTATCAACAAATATATTCATAACCGTACTACTGATCACAGAAAACAAAAACAGCTATATACTCAATGATGGGGATCGTTAAACTGTTTTGATCTGCAGATTCAGGTTTTCCCTTTTACTTTAGTAAAATTTGTTCTGTTATGTATTTGCTATAATTTCTCTTTACTTTTTTTGCTACTCTTGCTTTTGGAAAAATCATATATTGGCTCTCCATTGTCTGTCTTCTAGATTTATTATGTTCGTTTCAATTGCTTTCACAGGTGATTTTTCTCAGGCATATCCTCCATACTCTATTCTCTTATACTGATAATGTAATTTTCAGTACTATAATCATTTTATTCTTCTTTTCTTTTTCTCTCAGCTTTTTTCTCTTATTCAATTTTCTTTATGCTTTGAGAATCAGAGCAGCTTTTATATAGCATGCTGTTTTATTTCCTGGATTAACCATTTAAAGTGAATTTGTCTGTATTTTCTTAACTTCCTTTCTTTTTATGTCAGTATTTTTGCCCTAATTTTAAATCACATTACCCAATATGGTGATGAAAGAACTCTGTTCCATCTTTGTGCTCTGAATTCCTGAACTCTGTGGCTCCTATTTGTTATGAACAGCAGTAAATCCAGCAATTTTTGCTATTTCCTAAGACTACAGTGAGTGGAAACTTCTTGACTCTCTCTCCCATTTATCTGGATACTATCTGACTATCCCTTAATATTCTGAACTTTTGGAGAAAGAAATACTGATGGTTTGTAATCTTTGTTTAGTTTTTCATCTGCTTGAGGGAAGGGTAGGAATTACTAGGAGCAGATGCAGTTCAATAAGCTCTCTGTGGGCATCTACCACCATTTCTAATCAAAACATAAGTTCCAGAAGCACTCTTACAACTCAGTTTTTTTTAAAGTTAAACCAATTCAAAACTGGGCAAAAGATCTAAATAGATATCTCTCCAAAGATGACATACAAATGACCAATAAGCACACGAAAAGATGCTCAACATCATTGGTCATCATCAAATAGTTCCAATTGACCTGGTAATTCCACTTCTGGTCACACATTTCCACTTAAGTGGAAACTTAAGTCCACTTAAAAACTTGCACATAAGGCTGAACATAGTGGCTCATGTCTCTCTAATCCCAACACTTTGAGAGGCTGTGGCAGAAAGATTGCTTGAGCCCGGAAATTCAAGACCAGCCTGGCCAACGCGGTGAGATCCCATCTCTACAATGATAAATGCTACAGTATGGATGGGCCTTGAAAACATTATGCTAAGTGAAAGAAGCCAGACAACACAGACCACATATTATATGCTTCTATTTTTATGAAAAGTCCAAAACAAGCAAATCTGTAGAGAGAAAACTGGTTCTTTGGGATTGGGTAAAAGGAGAGGGGGAGTTGAAGGATGACAGTTAAAGAATATGGGGTTCCTTTTTGAGGTAAAAAAATTTACTGTGGCAATGACTGCACAACTCTGAATATATTAAAAACTACAGGCCAGATGCAGTGGCTCACACCTGTAATTCCAGCACTTTGGGAGGCCGAGGCGAGTGGACCACTTGAGGTAAGGAGTTTGAGACCAGCCTGGCCAACATAGTGAAACCCTGTCTCTACTAAATATTCACAAATTAGCTGGGCATGGTGGTGCACAGCTAATTGGGAGGCCAAGGCAGGAGAATCACTTGAACCCAGGAGGCAGAGGTTGCAGTGAACGAAGATCGCACCACTGCACTCCAGCCTGGGCAACAGAGCAAGACTCAGCCTCAAAAAGAATAACAATAATAATAATAAATAATAATAAACTTATGAAACAAAGCTTGGATTCTGAATAAATTATATTTGAAAAACAACTATAGAACTATACACTTTAAACTGGTAAGTTATATGATATGTGAATTATATCTCAATAGAACTGTTACCAGAAAAATAAAAGGAAAGAAAGGAAAAGGAAAACAAAAATCTCAGGGGCACATCTGGTCTCCTGGTCAAGTATGTGTAGACACATGTTAGATTTCAGCTTTTTAACCCATTAGAATAGGCAAGTAACCCTTCAATGCAAAGTCTATGATTTATTGGCCTCTTTAAAAAAAAAATTTTTGTTGGTTTATAGAATGTTGTTGAACAACTTGAAAGCTGACTTGAAAATATTGTTTTTCCATCTCTCCCCTGCTTGTGGTACTGCTAACTAGGTCAATTCTCCCCAGTTGGTAAATAAGAGAAGAGACCTTATAAACAATCTGACCTCAAGCCCCTACATGAGTCTCAGCAGCACATTCCTTTCTACAATCGTCCATTTAATTTAAGCCCACGGTTTTCATTCTCCTCTACAACTGAAGGATTATGGGTAGAAGTGTTTAGGAAAAGGTGCCATTAAGTTGGTACCTTTTTTTTTTTTTTTTTTTTTTTCTTTTGAGACAGGGTTTTGCTCTATTGCCCAGGCTAGAATGCAGTGGTTCAGTCACAGCTCATTGTAACCTTGAATTTCTGGACTCAAGCAATCCTCCTGCCTCAGCCTCCCAAGTGGCTAGGACTATATGGGTGAGCCACCAAGCCTGGCTAATTTTTAATTAAAAAAAAAAGAGAGACAGGGTCTCACTATGTTGCCCAGGCTGGCCTCTAATTCTAATTCTCAAGCTGTCTTCCTGCCTTGACTTCCCTCAGTGCTGGGATTACAGGTGTGAGCACCATACCCAGCCTAACTTTGTAAAACTTATAAACCTCTCATGAACCACCTTGTATTGGATTTCAGTGTTTAGAATCAAATGTCATTAATATCAGAGAGACTCTCTTTGGAGCCTATGATAAATGAAATTGTATTCTCTTCTATTTAAAAATATTGCTTATTTTTGAATAATTTTGTTCATTTCATTGGGATAGAATTTATGGAAACAACCTGCCACTTTCCCCACAAACTCCTATCCATCTAATTGATTATGTTGCTTAGATTATGGAAGGCTGATAAATGTTAATTCTGATGTCTTACAACTCTTCACAAACATAGTGCTGAGAACACCAGAAAGTAAATCTGGACAACAGAGCTCTATGTCCCAACCATGTTGGACAATAATAACTGCACAAACATGTGTACTCATTCAAACTCTGTGGATCCATTTACTTATAAAATAATAGGGTCGACCTAGACCCTATTATAAGTTATGATAACTATAACCTATGATAACTATAAGTTATCATTTTGTTCTAACATTCTATTAACATGATTTGAGGTCATGTTTAGTTCAAATATTTTATTAATATAACTTTATTAAAACAATATTCTATAAATTGAGGATTTTACTATTTAGATTACTTTTTAATTTTCAGATAGCTAAACCTCTCCCTCTAGTGGAAATTTTATTTTTAAAAAATGTTTTAGAACACACAAGGTTGCTGTGTTGTTTTTTTCTATCAGCCTTAACAGTAAAAATGTGCTCAGTATGTAAAATGGTAAAACTATTTTAGAAGGCAATTTGCCACTTTCAGAATTTAAAAGGACATTTCCTTTGACCTAGCAATTCTACTTGGTATGTTTCTAAAGGCATACATACACAAGTTGGTAAAGAATATGCTAGAATTTGCCATTAAATAATAAAAATTTCAAAAAGTTTCCATCACCTTATTACATCAGAATTGTAAGCAATAAAGAAAAATAAGATTGTTATTTGTTTTTTCCTCGCCAAGTAAGAACTCTTGGTGCCCTCCTATACAACTGACTCCAAAAACCATGTTAATTCCAGGCATGTCTGTAATTTCTTCCAACACCTTATTTACCAGTCTGGTCTTCAAGAAGAATCATAAAATCTAAAAGTCTCAGAGAGAAAGAATTCTTAACACAGCCAGGGAGAACACATTCTTTCTGTAGCACATTGTTAGTAAAACCAAGCAGTCTCAAAACATCTACATACTTTTAAACATGAACAATGACAACTCATGTCTCTTTAGAGACTCAGCAACTACTATGTCTTTTTTGTGTGTGGGTGAGACAGTGTCTCACTCTGTCACCCAGGCTGGAGTACAGTGGTGCAATCTGGGCTCACTGCCACCTCTGTATCCAGGGGTTCAAGCGATTCTCCTGCCTCAGGGTCCATAGCAGCTGGGATTACAGATGCCCACCACCACTCCCAGCTAATATTTTGTATTTTTAGTAGAGAAGGGGTTTCACCATGTTGGCCAGGCTGGTCTTGAGTTCCTGATCCATCTGCCTCAGCCTCCCAAAGTGCTGGGATTACAGACATGAGCCACCAGGTCTGGCCTGGTTCTATACCTTTCAAAGAATATATCAACAGTTCCTCTCTTTAGATTTTTTTTCCTCCTGCATCCCCTAAAGCATGTAGGACAGAAACTCCTAGTAGTCCCCTGTATTTATACTTTTTTCTTGCTCCAGTTTTTCACTAGCCACATGGCCAAGTATAATGAAGACTAAATTTCCAGCATCCTTTGCATCAATTTGTTGGCCAATGGACTGTAAGTGAAAATGATGAGTGTACAACTTCCAGAAAGTGTTCTTTAAAAGAATAGGTGAGGCTTTGCTTGCTCAACCTCTTCCTGATACCTGAAATGCTAATGTGATCATTGAGCTATGAATTGAAGCCATGTGTGGTTGATGGTAGAATCTGATTATCATAAACCCACCATATTGGCCCTTGAAAACATACAAGTTTACTTAAGTAATAGAGAAATAGACTTCTAGTACCTTTATTTTTAAATTTTCTTTCAGGAGCAGCTCAAATGATTCTAATTCATTCAGCATGTGAGCTAACGGTATAATCTCAGGCCATTACCAAACAGTCACAAAATTTTCAATCATGCTTTGGTGGCATGAGGATAAGAATATTTGCTTAAAATACTGTTGAGGTCTGGGTCAGTGCCAACACTGTCTGGTGGGAGGCAGACAGCAGCAAGGGTAGCAGGACCTAAGTGGCAGGACATCTACTGCTTGGCTTCTATCCTGTCTGTGCTGCCCTGGAGCAGCTACCCAGGCCCAGGAGGCCAAACCATGTGGTAGTCCATGCTGGGAATGACTCCGGTCAAGCAGCAGTCATTCTTCAGGAGCATATTACATTATCAAAAATGCCTTCTACACCATGACCTCATCCTTATTTGACTCAGGAAGGCATCAAATTACGAATTGATACTTTCCATCAGAGGTTTAAGGTGACTAAAGTATGCAACTTAAATAAAGTGAAGTGAAGATACTGCAGTCTATGTTGGATACTGTAGTCTTCTCAGGCCATAGCCCCACTAAGGAGCACACCAGTCTCTTAGGGTACAACACATCCTGGAAGGTACAACTCCACTAAGCAGCTCATTCACCTCAATGTCAGAGGATAATCTTTCCCTTTTCACTTGGATTTGTGGACAAGCCTCCCAAGGAAAAGACTAATTTTGACTACAGCCGAGCTTCTCTCCACATAACCCACATGGCACCTGTGAAGGAGATGAACTCCTACAGCAGAAAAAGTCTGCAAGATCCCAAGGCTGCCAGGATTCCCCTGAGCAGTTTCCTGGACATATATACTAGAGTGCACATGTTTTCAGAGATGGAACTGGACCACAGGATTTTGATTCTATCAACCTGCCACGGGTTGCAGGCCTGGCCCATTAATGGATGCTGGCATACAGAAGTGCATTCAGTAGATTATCACTCTCAGATCAAGTTCACATCAGCCACAAAGAAAGAAAATATAGTTGGTCAGACTACAAAACCTTCTGCAATGGGACAACATCCAAGAATCCCTGCGCCACCTGAAGTTTAAGCCTGGGGTGCTGGCACAGGTTGTCCAGCCTAAATGATACCAGTCCATTTGGGTCCATTCTCTGCTTTAGTCTTCAGCAAATGATCTTTGTGGTCATGTGGTATCACCTTGGTGATCTTGTACATCCCCAAGGCCTGGTGCCCATCTCGGAACAATGTGAGTTCCCTAGAGCACTTACCACCCATGCCCCTGACACAAGAATATGGTGAAATGTGTTTTTTATCCTGCTCAACTGGCCTTGGCAATGCTACACTGTACCTTTTCTGGGTCACTTTGGCAGTGTAAGAGAGATACTCTAAGGTGAGTACAAGCTGGGAGCTTTGCCATCGAATGAGGGGGTCTATATAACCACCAGCCCATCCTAGCCTGCCAGAGCCAGTAATGGCAAATGGAGATTTGGACTGCAAGAGAAGCAAAACTTCCAAACCCAGATAACTGTACGAAATCCTTGGGACCAGTTAGGGAGTGGCCATCTGACACAGAAGAAGGTAAGGTCCTGACTCCATGACCAACTCCTGTCTCATACAAAATGGGAAACTTGGGACTGTTTTTGTGGCTAAGGACACTGATGACAAGGATAAGGAATCCTGGCACATGACCCTGAATATAAGCAAGCAGCTTGTTCCTTAGGACTCAGTTACAACAACTACTCTACACCACTTTAGTTATCTGATGAGCCGAGGCCAAGGTAACCTGGCTGTCCTTCCCTGTTCTGTTCCTCCTCTTAACACACATTCCCTGTTGGCCCAACTGGCAAAACAAACTAGTTGAAACCGCTTTCTCCTCTTTCAGCTTTTTTGGTTTTTTTTTGTTTTCTCCGGCTTTCAGCTTTTCTTGGAGTCAGCCTTTGAAGGTGGCTGAGCCCTGCTCTGCTGCACCCTGGCCAGTGGGGCTACTTATAATTCTGTCTGCTTTTGCTTTCCTGTTTCTTGATATTATGTGAAGGTCTTAGCCAAAGGGATCTTCCCCCCTCTGTGATGTCTCAGCAATCCAGTACAACATGCAAGATCATCCAGCCCCAAGGAGCATTCAGGTGGCTGTGGTCCCAGATGACCACAACCTCATGAGAGGCCCTCAGCAAGGACACTCAACTGAGGGCATCGAAAATTCCTGACCCACCGAAAATAGGTGAGATAATTAATAAATATAGTCATTCCTCCCTTTCTGTGGTTCTACATCCATTGACTGACCAACTGCAGATCAAAAATATTTGGAAAAAAAAAACTATAGATGTAGATGATTGCATCTGTACTGAACACATACAAATTGTTTTTCTCATTATTATTCCCTAAACAATATACTATAATAACTATTTTATAGCATTTATATTGTATTGGGTATTAGAATTAATCTAAAGATGATTTTTAAAGTATAAAGAAGGATGTGTGTACATTATAGGCAAATACTACATCATTTTATATAAGGAACTTGAGTATCTGTGGATTTTGGTATTGCAGGGAATCCTGGAACCAATTGCTCACAGATACTGAGGGATGATTGTATTTTTGGTGGTTTTTTTTGTGTGTGTGACAGGATCTCACTCTGTTACCCAGGCTCGAGTACAGTGGTGTAATCACAGCTCACTGTAGCCTTGACCTCCTAGACTCAAGCAATCCTTCCACCTCAGCCTCGAGTAGCTGGGAACACAGGTGTGTACCACCATGCCTGGCTAATTTTTTACTTTTTGGAGAGACAGGGTGTCACTATGTTGCCTGGGCTGGTCTCAAACTCCTGGGCGCAAGCAATCCTCCTGTTTTAGCCTCCCAAAATGCTGAGATTACAGGTGAAAGCCATCATGTTTGGCCTACTTTGGGTTAAGATGCTAAATGTTATGGAGATTGGTTAAGCAGCAATAGATAACTAATAGATATTAGATGGCTGGCATATCACCTAACTACCCAGGACTATTCCTACAACCTCATGGGATTGCACTGGGAGCCCAGGAGCATCTTGCTACCTGTCCTTCAATAAAGCACCTATGGTTTTCGTAACAATCCTACCATATGCAGTTGCTGGGCTATTAATACTTGAAATTTTGAAGATGTACCACTTTGCACAAAAGTGCTATGAGGGTGCCCTGGCTCATGAACTCCTCTTCAGCTCCATCACTGTTGAAGGCTGTGGGAATTGTTTATCTCATAGCAGAAGTATCTCTGTTATCACAACATGCTCCTTAACTTACCTGAATTTCCAGAATCTGAAATTCAAGTTGAAATGTAACCATGTGGCAATTTCCTGATAATCGGTGTCTCTGTAGAACTTTTCTTATACCTGTAGACCAGAAAAACAAATATTTTGTTTGTAAATCACCATTTTCTTCAAATGCCTATTATTTAATTTTGTGTGAATATCTACAATACATTGGGTATATGTGTGAAAGTATGCATGAATAATTACATTGAAAAACTCTGGAAAAATGTACACCAAATTGATTCTCTTTGGAAAATAAAATTAATGACAGCTTCTAATTCTAGTTTTCAACTATACCAAAGATTATGGTAAGAAGTAGAAATGCGGCCGGGCGCAGTGGCTCATGCCTGTAATCCCAGCACTTTGGGAGGCCACGGCGGGCAGATCACCAGGTCAAGAGATCGAGACCATCCTGGCCAACATGGTGAAACCCCGTCTCTACTAAAAATACAAAAATTAGCTGGGCATGGTGGCGTGTGCCTGTAGTCCCAGCTACTCGGGAGGCTGAGGCAAGAGAACTGCTTGAACCCGGGAGGCAGAGGTTGCAGTGAGCCGAGACTGTATCACTGCACTCCAGCCTGGCACCTGGCAACAAAATGAGACTCTGTCTCAAAAAGAAAAAAAAAGTAGAAATGTACTAGTATAGCCCTAGACAAATTTGAATCACGTTAACTGTTCAATGGTTATTTTTTAAACACTATCTAGTTCTTAAAGGCAGTAAATTGAATCCATGCGTTTACCTCTGCTCTCTCTCAAAACTTCACTAAAATGACAGTGATAAATGATATTTTTGAGATATGACATGCATACATTTGAATGCATAAAATGCTCTGTTCTTAAGTATACAGCTCAATATTTTTTTTTACACATGTGGTTGTCCAGGTAACTATCACTCAGATAATTATACAAGAATTTTATAGAACCCATAAGGTTCCCTCATGTCCTTTCCCAGGGTATACCCTACCCACAAGAAGTACGTAAGCACTATCCTGACTTTATGTAGTCATCTACTTTTGCTAATGACGTTATTTTTAGAAGGGCATGATTCTATAAGGATAAAGGGAACAGGAAAGAGAAGAGAAATCTGATTTAGGAAGCTGGAAATCAGACAGATGAACCAGATAGCACATGGAAAAGTAAAAGTGACCTGGTAGAGCCAGAAAAACTGAAACCGAAGCCAGCAAATGGGGAAACCCAGAAGCAAGCCCATTTACATAGCAGAATACCAGAAGAGTATTATGAATCAGCAGCATCAAGTACCTTTATGGGAGGTGGACTCGGAGCTCAAAATAGGAAGGCTGGTTAAAGATTTGTTCAATAAGTAGTTAGGAAAAAAAGACAGAATGGTACAAACTGACATTATTTGCCTCCTAATTAGATGTACCAGTAAGAACAAAACATCACTTTCATAGTTTTCCTGTCAAAATTACACGGGAATGTCATTAAGAGGAAACCATCAGAAATAAAAAGAGATTGAAGAACAATGTATAATACAAGTGGTCTTTGAAGATGTCAATGTCATAAAAGACAGAGAATGCTGACCAGATTAGTTAGACTAAAGAGACATGACAGCCAGGTGCAATGCCTAATCATGGATTCGATGTGGAATTTTTTAAATAAATGGCTAAGGAAGACTCACAACTGTTAAGTTGTCAGTTCTTCCCAACTTGATCTACACATTAAATGCAATCCAATCAAAATTCCAGCAAGTTACTTTCTGGATATTGACAAACTGATTATCAAATTTATGTGGAAGAGCAAAAACTCAGGAAAGCCAGAACAATCTTCAAGAAAAATAAAGTTTATGAACTTAAATGACCTGATTTAGAGACTTACTATAAAGCTACAGTAATCAAGACAGTATGGTATTAGTGAAAGAGTAGACAAATAGGTCAACAGAACAGAAGAGAACGTCCAGAAATAGGGTCACACAGATATAGTCAAATGATCCTTGACAAAGGAGCAAAGACAATTCAATGGAGAAAGGATAGTCTTTTCAACAAAAGGGGCTGGAACAACTGAACATCCCCATGCGAAACAAGCAAAAAAAGAATCTAGACACTGACTTAATAACTTTCACAAAAATTAACTCAAAATATATCACAGATCTAAATATAAAATACAAAACTATAAAACTCCTAGAAGATAGTATAGGAGAAAATCTAGATGATCTTGGGCTTTGTCCATAAAAATAAATGTGCCAAAAATGCAGTAAAGAAAAAATGCAAATGGAATCCTGGAAATAATATAGAGCCATCACTTTATTTTGCACACAAGAAATCAGGCCCAGAGAGACTTATTATTCTGTCCAATGTCCAGACTTTATCTTTTCTTTACGTCCAGGCTTTATTTTTTCTTTATGGATGACCACTATGCATATATAAATTGCATGCAAATATATAGCATGATAAATTTTCAGTTCATTACTTTTTAACTTGAACACATTGGTTTTTATTTTATTTTATCTTTGAAATGGAGTCTCGCTCTGTCGCCCAGGCTAGAGTGCAGTGGCGCCATCTCTGCTCACTGCAACCTCTGCCTCCCGGGCTCAAGCGATTTTCCTGCCTCAGCTTCCTGAGTAGCTGGGACTACAGGTGTCTCCCACCACATTAATTTTTGTATTTTTGGTAGGGACAGGGTTTCACCACATTGACCAGGCTGGACTCAAACTCCTGATCTCAAGTGATCCACCTGCCTTGGCTTCCCAAAGTGCTGGGACCACAGGTGTGAGCCAACGCGCCCAGATTATTATTATTATTATTTTTTTGAGATAGAGTCTCATTTTGTCACCAAGGCTACAATGCAATGGTGCAGTCTCAGGCCACTGTAACCTCCACCTCCCAGCTTCAAGCCATTCTCCTTCTACAGCCTCCCAAGCAGCTGGGACTACAGACAGGCACCATCACACCCAGCTAATTTTTTTTTTTTTTTTTTTTTTTTGAGAAGGAGTTTCGCTCTTGTTACCCAGGCTGGAGTGCAATGGTGCAATCTCGGCTCACCGCAACCTCCGCCTCCTGGGTTCAGGCAATTCTCCTGCCTCAGCCTCCTTGAGTAGCTGGGATTACAGGCACGTGCCACCATGCCCAGCTAATTTTTTGTATTTTTAATAGAGACAGGGTTTCACCATGTTGACCAGGATGGTCTTGATCTCTTGACCTCGTGATCCAACCGCCTCAGCCTCCCAAAGTGCTGGGATTACAGGCGTGAACCACCATACCTGGCCTGATTTTTATTTTAAAATAATGAGTAAGGGTGTATTTTTAACAAAGTTTACAGATAGCAGAAGAGGATTAGTCCTTCAAAACAATCAATCCACATATCAATATCAAGCCCATTCACATATTTTTAATAATATGCGTTTAAAGCTAATCAAAAGACAAAAATAAAAATTATAAATTAAAAACTATTCTCATTACTTTGCAGTAACACTTAATTTGGACTTCAAACTCCATTACTTAATTTGTAAACTGACTCTTTTGGAATCAAAATGGAGAATATTTAAAAGAATCATCATAATTACTAAAGCAAATTCCAAAAAAAAAAAGAGTTCTAAAAATGTATGGAGAAATAAAAGCATAGCTGCAATAAAGTATTAGTTATGACTCAATAATGATAAATAATACTTTGGAATGATGGAAGTCAAGATCATTTGATTACCTAGCTTCAGCTATATTCATTAATATGCCACAGAAACTGTGTCTGCCCAAGTAATAGCTATGGCAAAAGACAATGACTTCAAAGAGCTGTTTGTCTTTCCAATAGCACCTGGCCAACTATCCGGGACAGACACAGTAGTTATTTGATTAATTAAAGATTTGATGGCATCATGTGTCACCAAACACATCCACTAAATCAAACTGTATTGTTCCCAGTTTAATAGATTAAAAATCTGTCAAAATATAGTATTATTATTAGAAATACCATTGGAACAATGCTGTATCGCTTCTGTTTGGAACAACTATTCACTTTTGCCTGGTAACTTTTTTCTGTGTTATAACAAACAGATATTGTGACATAAGAAAACAGTCTTCGATGACAAGGCTTTCAAGCATTTTAACCTGTGAAGCCTAACAGCTGTTTAACTTCTTTATGAAATTATACAATTCTTGTGAAAAAGAGAACAAGAAACATCTGAAAACTAGTGACACCAGCACTGCATTGTCAAATGGCTTATTCTGACAGGACCCTTTCGTGTATAGATTACATTACATATGACTGCTACTGTCAGTCTTTATTATTTTCCTGTTCAAAATATTTTTCTTAGACTGGGCGCAGTGGCTCACGCCTGTAATCCCAGCACTTTGGGAGGCCAAGGAGGGCAGGTCACCTGAGGTCAGGAGTTCGAGACCGGCCTGGCCAACATGGTGAAACCTAATTTTTACTAAAAATATAAAAATTACCCAGGCATGGTGGCGCACGCCTGTAATCCCAGCTACTCAGGAGGCTGAGGCAGGAGAATCACTTGAACCCAAGAGGTGGAGGTTGCAGGGAGCCAAGATCACGCCACTGCACTCCAGCCTGGCAGAGCAAAACTCCATCTCAAAAAAACAAACAAAAATGAAGAAAAAGGAACAAAAAAATAAAAAACAAGGTATATTTCTTCCAGTACCATTACTCTTGCCAAACTACTTCACAATTCATTTCAAGAAACTCCTACAACCACATAGATTTCTGGCTTTAAAATGACATTTCTTGTTTACAATTTTTATATTTTTCTAAGTTTTCTAAAATGAGCACATATTACTCACAGACAGAAAAAAAGCATTTTAACTCTTGTTATGTCCCTGTCTGAAATCTCCCATTCAAGGCACATTAGCTTTGTCAAGACTCTATGCCTAATCTTCATGTTGAGACTTTTAAGCTAGTAAAAGTCTTATACCTGGCCTATCCTCATTCTCTATTCTCTCTGCATTCCATCTCTTCCCTTCAAGTAATTTAAGTCTCCAAATTTCATCACTCTGTTTCTGTATGTAATTCCATTACCCTACAGTGGCTGCCAAAAACACTCTAAGGTTATTCTCCCTCTCCCCTGTCATGAGGGTTATTTTCAGTGGAAAAGTCAGGAAGCACACCAAAAATGA